TGAAAGAACTCCCTGCTGCTGGGCAGGAAAGAACACTGGGTGCTTTAAGCCCAACTAGAAAAGACCCTTGCAGCCCCTGTCGTCAGCCCAGGCAGACAGGTGAGACAAAGAGGTGATGGAGAAAAGATGTCCCCTTCTGCTGCATCCCTGTCCAGAGCAGGGTGACTTTTGTCAGCGTCCTGAGCAGGTGCTGCTCTGTGAGCATCTTCTCCCTCCTCCCCTCGGGGAGTTGCCCAGCGGGTGGGGGAGCTCTTGGCAGCAGCGTTAATACAGTTGCTTTGGCAGTCTGCAGCAAATGAGGAGGGGTGATACGTTTACTCTGACACGACAAGCGCGCACCGTTCCTCAAGAAAGAAATGATTCCATGCAAAGGAAAACTTAGTTACTGGAATAAGCTCATCACTACCTGGCAGTAGTTCGCAGACATTTTTGGAAAATGGGAGCCTCTTCCAGGCGATGGGGCCGGCCTCTGTAGGGTTGTCTGGGACACTGAGTTGCTGTCTGTAGAGAACCCCGGAAATTGCTCTGTGAAGGGCAGATGGGGACATCCACAATATGGAGGCTCAGATCTGTAAAGAATCGCCAAGGGCTTCCTTTCCAGTTACGGCCTCCTGGGACTGTGGAGCTCTATTCAGGGTGTCCTGAGAGGGCTGGGAGTTCGTGTTTTAGCCCAAAGGGTTCAGATGCCGGTGTGGAGCGAGGAAGATCCGTGACTTCTGCTCAGCCTCATCATCCCCAGCTTATTTGGGAAGGATACTTACATCCTACTGAAATAGCATTGAAACAGTCTCGTCCCTAAGGGAAGCAGCATCCTGGTGTCTCTTCTTCCTCCTTCCAATTTCATTCCTAGAGCAAGTGCCTGCCCGTGACCCATCCGGCTGTGACCATGGGTCTCCACCACATCAACCTCTTCCAGCCCTTTTTGTTTCCTGTCCCGTCCTTTCTTTTTTAAAAAAAAAAAAAAGGCAAACCACTTCCCATACCTCATCACCCCCAACAAACAAGTCCTGAAGTGTAAGTTCATTATGTTTATAAACAAATAAACTTTGATAAATGTAGGCAACCAGTAACTAAATCATTACTCTGCATATATGTATAATAGATATATTATATATATTATATATATATATATAAAGGCACAAAGTATCCCTGGGGGATACATAAGAAAAAATAAGAACAAATCCTTAAAAGTCAAATTTTAATAATAAAGTTCCCAGTAAGATGCCACTACATAGTCCCTGGAGTAGCAGTAATTGAGAAACGGCCAGGTGGTGGTGGTGGAATTTGGGGAACCTGGACCCATCCTGCTTTGCGAATGGAAATGTAAGATCATGCAACCACTTATAAAATAGCATGTTAATGTTTTCAGTCAGGAAACTAAACTCACTGCACAGCCTAACAGTTGCACTACCAGGACTCTCCCCAAGAGAAATTGAGACATATTTGTACAAAAGCTCACATGTGAATGGTGACGGCATCATTCTTCATAATAGCCACAAACTGAAAAGAATCTGAATTGTCCATTACGTGGTGGCTAGGTGAGCAAAATACAATATATTCATACACTGGAATGATAAAGTTTAAAAACCAAGTTCTGATATATACTGCATGTGAACAAATCCAACAAATATACTAAGTGAAAAATGCCGAAGAAAAAGCTACGCATTTTGCGATTCCGTTTATATGAATCTGGGAAATGCAGGTTTATAGAGACAACGGAGCTATGATTGTCGGGATCTATGATCTGATTAACTGCAAATGGTTTTAAGGCGCCTTTGGGGGGGGGGATAATGGAGGTGTTAAAACTGGGCTGTGGTAATCTGTATTCTCAGTTACACTTATGCTGGGGAAGTTTCATGAAATATGAATTTACCCCATGAGACTGTTGATGTTGACTGCATGCGCCACGGTCAGTGCAGTAAATTTTCTTTCTGTGTGAGAGACAGGAACTGTGGCCAAAGGGTGGACCGCACAGCCTTGAGTTTCCTAAGAAGGGTGCCCTCCCTCACTGGGAGGAGCTAGAGGAGACGACCTGATCTTGGACCCCATACTGAGCTAAATAAGTTCCTTTTCTTTGTAACAAATGGCCAGGCTTCCAGTATTTCATCACAGAGACAGAACGCAGTGATACAGCAGTCAGCATGTATGGCCACCCCATCAGGACTCAGTAGAAAACTCATTTCCATTTTCGCTTAAGAAGGCCCTCAGTGAAGCACTGTAAATTACATTTCATTACTCGGAGGCATATCTTTCTCCCAGCCTCGCAATGCAGTGGGAGATGTGGATGAAGCATTTCCTTTGCCTACCCAAGGACAGTGTCTCCAGGAAGAAGAGCCCTTGTGCATTTGATGGAGATGTTAGCGAGTGTGTGGTTCTTTCTTTTAATGGGATAGTATTGCTCCTTTAAAGATCCTGGATGTTCAAACCTGGGAATTTGGTAAATCATTTCCTCAAAAATGAATGAAGAGAGACTTTTGCTTCAAGGAAAGTCATTGACACAGGTTTGTCATTGACAGCGGTTTGTTTTCAGTTTTGCCAGTGTTAAAATTCAAACCTTAACCCAAACCTGTAACCCTGTAACTTTGGAAAGCTTTGTGTCTTCCATGATGAACTTGACAACAACAGTCAAGAGATTTCTGGTGATGTGGGTGGAGATTTCAGCAAATGCATTTTTTTTTAAACAATGTGAATGAGGTGTCATAACTTGAAGACTATGGATAGAAGTGTTGGTTCTAAACATTTGAGAGATGTGACCAGTAACTAATACCGTGAACTCTGGAGTCAGGCTTCCCAAGTTCAAAGCCCAGTATCACCACTCATTACTTATATAACCTCAGTTAGGTTCTTCATCGCCCTATGCCTCAGTGTGCTCATCTGTAAAATGGGAATTAAGTGACTAGGCATGGTGGTGTGTACTGTAAAACTGAGGAATGACGCTTGAGACTTCAAGACCAACACTGTCTCAAGAAAGAGAGAAAAAAAAGTAATAAAATGTTACCTAATTCAGAGGTATTATAGGTGTGAAAATGAGCTAATGTATGCAAATATTTATGAACACTAAATAAGTCAATATATATGAAAATATAGGTCCTCGGTTGTTATTACTGGTCTTGTTGAATTATAATCTATAAAATAAAGTACATAGTAGAAAGTTTTGCCATTGAGACTCTATCATTTGAGGGTTGTTCTTAGCGAGTATGTATTATAGGTTTTCAAGGGAGATTTGAAGAGGTAATAGAATTATGTAGAGTAGTTTAATAAGAATATAAGTAGGTTACAGTTATGTGACATTTCAGTTCCCTGCCTCCAGGACGTTGAAAATTTTGATGTATCATTTGAGCTCTAGGAATTTGGGAGATTATGTGACCAGAGGGGAGTGGTAGATCATAACTGCCCACCTTGTATTTAAGAACACATGCAGCTTCAAGGAGAAAGTGTTCAACCTGGAAGACACCTGTGTGCTCGACCCGGCTGGAAGGCTTCTGTCAGTCTCTTTTCTTCTCTGAGATGGACAGAAAGACCAGTCGTTGGCTCTGTTCGTGTGCTCTGCTGCTCTGCGCAGAACACCCTGCACGATTGCAGAAGACCCTGCATGATGCTCTAGGCCTTTGTCAGGCAGCACAACCCCAAAAGAAACAATGGACTTTGGGTTTGGGCTATTGGAGCCGGTGCGGTACTTAGCTAATTCTCCCACCTGCTTTGTGAAAGCTCCAGTAACTATCTGTTGTTCCCTGTCTACCCCAGTGAAGTAACCAGAATATAGTCCATGCCTTTTAAATTTGGTTTGCTTATCACTGGGGAGCGTGGCCAACACAGCATGCTGGTGGAGCGAGTTTCAGAGTTCGTTCTCTCCTTGCACCATGGGCTCTGGGGGCGGAACTCAAGCATGAGGCTTGTGTAATGAGCGCTTACTGAACCACCTCACCAGCCCTCGTTTATACTTCTTAAATGCTTATGAATGTATTATTTTTAGTATAAAGAAGGCAAGGTGGCCTGTAGGAGAATGGTAATTGTTTTCTTTTCCTAGAACATGAAATTACCATATTTTTAGAGTGCTAATATTATGCAGACCCACTCATGTTTGATGGTAAATAACAACCAGCCAGAGCATAGAAAAGTTGCTGGCATTTCACTGACTCAAAGGGGATTCGCTCTCTTCAGAGAAGCAGGGACACAAAAGAGTCTGTTTGGGACCTGTCTGTTTCATGTCCTCCAGGCCACTCGGCTTGTAGCGGAGCTGGGAAGGTAGTCCAGCTCTTAAATAGTGGCCTCTTCAACTCTGGTCACAGTTCAAGTTCTTTAAGGATGAACAGCCTCCTGTTAACGAGGCTCAGAATGTTCTTTCCTTCCCCTTCAAGGGTATTTTTGCAAGCTTCGCGGGAAGCACTTTGTGTATGTCTCTACAAGCGCGGGGTGGTAGTGCGCTTACGGACACGCCAGCACTTTAATACCTGCGTGTTCTTTGCCCCGTGCTGCTGTGCTGGAAATACAAAATCTTGTCAAGCTGAAAGCCCAAGACTTCTACTAATCCACTAGAATCTGGTCCCAAATTTTACTGTGACGTGAAACTGTAGTCATTTGTTGTCAAGTCCCTGTCCCAGCTAGGGCCTTTTCACACTGTGTCCTAGCATGCTACTGCAGCCAGGTCTCCCGCACAGGTAGGCAGTGCCTGCGATTGTCCCGTTTCCCTCTGTCTGATACTGGAACCTTTTGTCGATTCTCTCACCACTGGAAATCGGTAATTAAACTCTAGCTGCGTGCTGTTTTCTAAGCCCAGTGGTACCTATTACAAAGCCAACTCTTTTCATTAAAGTACTTCCTGTTCCAGGGTCTGGCAGGTTCTGCCTGCCTTATGTAACATCTTTGCAAGGACCCTTGTCTTTGTGGCGTGCCCAGCTTCGGTGGAGGGGCTCCATCAGGATCAAAGAGTTTCTGACGAAAATGCCCGCTTATTACCTAACCACGGGTTCTCATCTCGTCCATGTGTGCTTGCGTTTCAGGAAAAAAGTGCCAGCTCGAATGCGAGGCTTAAAACTAATAAAGAAGTCCCTGGATTGGTCCATCAACCCAGAGCAAAGTAAGTTCTGCCTTCTCTTTTCCCTGTATTGTTCTTAAAGCCCCATTTCTGCCTCCCAGGTAATCAAGGTTTATTATAGAGCTTTAGTAATTGAGACAGTAAACAAAACATACTCTCAGAACATGCTCAGTGCATAGCAAAGCTGACAGTTTCAGGCCATTTAGTAAAATAAATAGATAAGAGGGATGGATAGCTTTATGGCTCTCAGTTGGGGAGATCCTGATTAAGATATAAAATAATATAAATCTTATGGGGATTTACTGATTGGTGGTTGCAATAAAATTGTGAACATATCTTCATTAGAATATACTATAAGACAGTCGAGGCCGCAAGACCGAGGATGACGTACAGATGACAATATAGATTTTCCAGAACACAGGAACTAATTCTACAGATAAAACTACAAAACCCAAAGGAAGGGCTAACACATGAAGAGCCATCTGACTAAGGAGGAAGCCTGAGCAGCTGGTCTGTTTGAAAAGTGTGTTATTTCATTCCATCAGATTCTCGAAAATGTCTAAGTCTGACATCACAGAAGTTGTCAAGATGATGAACTCCAGATCCCCTTTAACCCCTACTTGTGGGTTCACAGCAGTGCAACTGGAAGGGAGTAGCAGGGGGTGCAGTTTTCCCATCTAGTAAAGTTGAAACTAGGCAGACTTCACCCTCCAGCACCTCCAGGGACAGGCATATGCCCTTGAGAAACACATTTCTGCTGGGAGACATTTTGACATCACCATAACAACAGTTTAGATAAGCTTTTAGAAGTAAAACCAAGTGTCCATCGGTAATATAATGGGTAACAGTACTGTGGCGTGTTCTGATGGGAACGCTATGTGGCAGTCAGGGAAAATAAATGAGGAAGGTACATGTTCCACACGTCAGGGAGGGGCATTCTCAGAACAGTTAGTAGCAGGATGTTCCTTTAAATTCAAAGATATAAATGAACAGTATTACGTGTATAAGTATATGGCAAAATAACAAAAGATAAGCCAGGAAATCAGAAAGCATTCAGTCAAAATGGTGCGCCTGACTGGGTGAGACACAGGTGGACCCAGAGGCTCTCTCTCCTAATCTGATTGTTGCTTATAATGTGTAATTTTAAGAGATCTTTAACTTGAAAAAATATGCCGTACCTAGTACATCTCCTCAGTGGCCTGGGTACTTGAAGATACTTTGCTGGCTTCCAACAAATGAAGACTCATTCTTCGTTTTACTAAAATAGCTAATGTCTTGGGCGTGGTGGTGCATGGGTTAAATCCTAACACTTTGGAGACAGAGGCAGAAGGATTACCATGCATTCCTGGCCAATTGACTTAGTAAGTTCCGGGCAAACCAAGACTACAAAGCAAGAAGCTGTCTTAAAGGAAAAAGTAAATAAAACAGTACATAAAAAATAAACATTGACTCATTTTCTAGATTGTTCTAGGGCTTATTCCATATTGGTGATAAAATTCATTTTGTGATCATGAGACTACCGTTATATTTCTTAAGAGAGGCTGTTAGTCTTTAACTGTAGTACTCTGCTTAAAAATAAGTAAATTCCCAAGGATTCAAGCATATTTGACATATGTCACCTCCTCCCCGTTCTGATGTTACATCAAAACCGTAGCAGAAGAAATGTATCATTGCTAGGCCTTCCTGGAAAACTGAGTTTAAAACAACCTGCTTCATGATCTTTGTGATGGCTATTCTTGGTCAACAACTTGACTACATCTAGAATTAACCAAAACCCAAATGACTGATCACACCTGCCAGGTGTGTTAACCAAATCATTTAAAGTGGTAAGACCCGCTTCTAATCTGGATCTTTAAGCTGGAAATACCCACCTCTAATCTGGGGCAGCCCTTCTGCTGGAAGCTTATATGAAGGACATGGAAGAAGGAAGCATTTGCTCCCTGCCCGCTTGTTCTCACCCCCACTAGCAAGTCCGTTCCTCCACTGCCTTAGAGCCTGCTCTTTTGGATTCCAGTGTACACTGAAGACCAGCTGAGACATCCAGCCTTACAGACTGAGCATCTACTGGGTTCTTGGACTTTCCCAGTCTTAGGCAGCCATTGTTGGATTAGCTGGACCACAGCCTGTAAGCCATTCTAACAAATCCCAGATAGATAGATAGATAGATAGATAGATAGATAGATAGATAGATAGATAGATAGATAGATAGACAGACAGACATTCATTCTGTAGGTTCTGTTGTTTAGAGAACCCTTACCAATACAAACACTTTGTCCAAGCCCAGTGTCCCTGGTTTGCTAGAGCATAGGCCCACGTGATGGCAGTTAGAACTCGTCAGCAGATAGGGAAAGGACTAAGAGTTTCAATGCTCACTTTTAAGAAAAATTAACACTTATAAGTCCACTTAAGAGTCTGGAGAGATGGCTCAGCAGTTAAGAGTACTAGCTGCCCTTCAGAGGAGCCGAGTTCAATTCCCAGCATTCACACTTAACAACTGTCTGTAGCTCCAGTACCAGGTTATCTGACACCTCCACACCAATGCACATAAAATAAAGTTAAATACATTTTTTAAATTAAAAATAAATAATAAATCCACTTAAGGTTGACTGTGTCAGAGTAATGGTGCAGCTGATTGTCTCCCACTTAGGCCCCTGCTGCTGGTCACCAGGCCCTCCCCAGAAGCCTCTCTGATGCTCGTCACTGCTGTAACTTCTGCCTTTGGAGACCAAAGACCCCTGATAACACAACCCATCACTTTTCCATGCAAGCACCTTGAAAATGGGCTATTCTTTTAAAAAGCTTCCCCTAGATCTGAGTCTTAGGGGGTAACTGCATGGATGGATGGATACTGCTCAATCCTGCTGGAATAATAGTTCTGAACCTGTAGGTTGCCATCCCTTTGGGGTCACTTGACCCTTTGACAGGGATCATCTAAGACCATTGGAAAACACAGATAGTTACATTATGGTTTATAACAGTAGCAAAATGACAGTTATGAAGTAGCAACAAAAATAATTTTGTGGGGGGCTGGAGAGATGGCTCAGTGGTTAAGAGCATTGCCTGCTTTTCCAAAGGTCCTGAGTTCAATTCCTAGCAACCACATGGTGGCTCACAACCATCTGTAATGAGGTCTGGTGCCGCCTTCTGACCTGCAGACATACACACAAACAGAATATTGTATACATAATAAATAAATATTTTTAAAAAAATAATAATAATTTTGTGGTTGGGGGTCACCACACCATGAGGAACTGTATTACAGGGTCTCAGCATTAGGAAGGTTGAGAACCACTGTGCTAGAAAGAACCCGTTATTTCACCTTGACGCCTGGAAGCTGCTCGGTCTGCAGCGAGAGAGTGCACTACACCATTTAGAGATGTATATTAAATGGACTTGTGTGCTTACTTTAGAAATAGCATTTTCCACATAGCATGCGTGCACACATGCGCGTGAGTGTGTGTGTGTGTGTGTGTGTGTGTGTGTGTGTATGAGAGGGGGAAGCTGTATGTGTATGCTTGCATATGTTTTGGGGGAAGAGAGTATGTGTGTATTTGTGTGTGTGTGTTAAGTTGCAAATGGAATCTTGTGTACTTAGAGTGCCTTGAGAATGAGAGAAAAAGGATAATTGCCCTTAAATGGGGCTGTGTAAATGAAATACAGGATGTTTACACAATGAAAGGTTGGTCAGCAGTTTAGCCAAGTTTCTGCAGCGGTGCACGATGCTGCATAGACCCTTGAAATTTGATAGCAATCCTGCAGTAGTTGCATAGAGCTTGTTGCACTCTATAGACTTTAAAAATACAACCAAAGTAGATAACTGGGTGTTTTTAGCACATTCAGAGGCACAGCAAGATAAAAGGCAAGAGATGGTTCCCCTGGGGCAGAGGGACACACAGTTGGGAACTAACCTTGGGTCAGTTATAGCTTGTAATTGAGGTTGTAGTAATTAGTTTTGTTTTGAGCTTCACAGCTGCTTATATTGGTTCTGTTTTTTATTTCAAACAAAATAATTAAGCAAATAGAAGCAGCTGTGTATGAGCTACCACTGGGAGTGTCAGAAAGGCCAGAGTGAGGCTTCCGCCCCAAAGCTCACTTGGAAGTGGCTGGTGATCATTAAGAAAAAGCCGAGCAGGATAAGATTAAGAGGAACCCAGTCGGTGGTCACATTTGGTGTGTGCAGGTGTGAAGGCAGACCAAATCTTGCCTCTGTCCACTTGGGTTTCCATCTGGACCTGAGGATTAAATTGTTACAAGGTAGATAAACAAGAAAAGCATATCAGTGCTGGGAAGCTCTATAGAAAAACAAAGACCCAGAGCTGTTGAAAACCTCAGTGTTGGTAAGTTGAGCAAGGAGAGGCAGTGTTTGGGGATGATACTTTGTACCTTCAAAGGTAGAACATTAAGAAGGTAGTGTCTTGCCTCCTGTCTTAGTGAAGTTTCTGTTGCTGTAATAAAACAGTGCGACCAAAATCATCTTAGGGAAGAGATTATTTCATCTTATAGCTTGTAGTCCAACACTGTGGGAAGTCAGGGCAGGAACTCAAGGCAGGAACCTGGAAGCAGGAACTGAAGCAGAAGCCGTGGAAGAGTGTTGCTTCCTGGCTTGCTCAGCCTGCTTTCCCATCCATCCAGGACCACCTGTCCAGGGATGGCACCTCCACAATAGTCTGGGCCCTCCTACATCAGTCACTAATAAAGAAAATGTCCCACAGGCCTGCCTACAGGCCAAGCCTATGGAGGCATTTTCTCAGTTGTGGTTCCCTCTTCTCGACCAATTCTAGCTTATGTCAAGTTGCAAACAGACAGGCTGCCCCCTATATAAACCAGGTTTTCCTTGCTGTGACAAACACCTGAGAGGATGCACCTGAAGAACGGAAGGCTTATGTTGGCTCAGAGCCACCGTTGTTTCTTGGCCTCTTGTGAAGGAGAAACCATCCTGGCCAGGAGCATATAATAAAACAAAGCAACTCATGGCAACCAGGAAAGAGGAGGCAAGGAGAGACGGGGATAATGCAAGTGTGTAAAGGGCCAGAGACAAAATGCATCCTTCAGGAGCCTGCCCCCAGTGGCCTGCATCCTCCAGCTAAGCCCCACATAGTATGGTTCCCACCACCTCTCAGTAACCCAGTACAATAACTGTCAGCAAATTCATCGGTAGTGAGCTTCATGATCCAGATGCCCCCCCCCCCCAAGAGACCGTTCCTCTGAACATTGCTGGGTACTAAGCCTTTGTGGCATTACCTTTGGGAGGCGGTTGTCAGTTCCAAACCATATTACTGCCTTACATTTTTGTGGCTGAAGTTTCCATATTTGGGAATTTTATATGTCACTAAAAATGAAAGCTGAATGCCTTTACTTCTGAAGCCCATTTTGCCCATCATTCCTTCTTTGGATCGCTTTACACATGAAACTGAGAAGCAGCGGAAAGAAAAGCCTCTCGGGGTACAAGTTGGTCTTACAGAACATTGCAGTGCCCACTCGGTATCTGCTGAGCTTTGTAAGTTAAAGCAGATACCACTGTGTAGCTTCTTGTAAAGGTTTAAGTAGGAATATTAGCCCCACATATTTTTGCTGTATAAACTCATGTACCATGTAGCCGTAGTCCCTTTCTAGTATGTGGAGAGGAAAGCTAAGACTGTCGGTGGCTTTTCCCTCTCTCTGACCAACTCACAGCCATCCAGGTGTGCGTCGGGAAAAGAAGATGCCTAGAATAGTGTTGGCACCCAGGGAGGAGCTGGTCCTCACAGCGCGGTTTGCACTCTGATATCAGTGCTGCTGTGTTGATAGGATTTCCGTGTGGTAAGGCAAGGGTCCATGTGCATCCGGGCAAGCGTGTGTTTCATCAGATTCTGTATTTACAAGGTTTCTTTCTTCCCTCTGGAATGAGCCCAGGGAAAAGAGAGTGAGCCTTCATCTTTCATACCCCGCTAAATGAGGTGATAAATGGCTAACTAGGACCTTGAGGGAGCATTTGCTCCTCTGGAGAAACATGCCACAGAAACATTCGTCTGAAGGAGCTTATGTCATGCATGAGGTTCTGATAACAAGCCCCCTTTCCATTCACCCCGTTCCACCTACAGCAGGAAGCATACTGTGTTTCAAGAGTGAGCCTGCCTGGTCTGTAAAGGCAGGCAGGCAGGCAGGCAAGCTGGCAGGCAGCATTTCCCTGACATCGGACAACACAAACTCAAAGCACTGAGGTGTTTGTGCTTGTGTCTCCACACACATCCTTAGGCTAATGGCCTCCACCTTCAGTCTCTGGTTCCTGATACAGAACCCGTAAGAAGTTCATTGCGACCACAGAGACGGCAACCACACTTGGCAGAGTTGCCATACCCTCCCTCGCCCTCCGTGCTTGTGTGTGGCTGCTAACCAGACATGGCTGTCCTCATGTTAAATGAAGACGCACGTGGAAATTGACAACTGAAGATGGTTAGCAGTAAGGCTTGTTTTTGTAGGAAGCAGCGTCTGAGGCTAGGCACCTCAGCCACGTGACAAGCCACATTGCTGCCGTGGAGGGTCAAGAGTCACACGAACTTAAATAGCACTCCTCAATTAATTAGCAAACAATGTAATATATACATCATTGCATGCAATGTATGTATAGCTAAGAAGTGCAAGCAGCAGTTTGCGCCATGAACACCAAAGCCTAAAAACACCATTTTCATGGAGTCTCTTAAACATCCTTAAGGAGACAACACAGACACACACACACACACACACGTGCTCATGCACCTATATTTGCAAACGTAAATACATAAACACATGCACACCGCATACATATACATGAAAATGGAAAAAATATTCAACGTCGTTAGTCGTCAGTGATGCACTTGTTATCTGTACGAAGATGCACACCTACTTTAAAATTGCTGCCTGAGACCTACAGCTATTGAGAACCTGGCCAAGAACAAAAAGAGTCAAAGTATGTCCATACAGCTAATATGGGTGTCGAGCGACTCCTGCTCTGCACCCTCAGGAAACCTCGGCGTCTCACCCTCCCTGCAGACATCGCTGAAAAGCTTGGCTGTGCTGATCTGAAGCCTGCAGTAAAGTAACATCCGGGAACATAGCAGAGGGAAGACCAGCACCACTCCAGCAAGAGACCACTAGAGAAAGAACAGTATCGAGATGAGATGCAGAACTAAAGCCCTGAGGCCACAGGCCCCGGACTCTGACCAGCCCTATCTGTGCCCGTGGCCCCGAGTGTCACAGTATTGCAGGAGAGTGTGGTGATTTAAGACTACCAGGATGGCCTGAAGTCAGCAAGGGAACATGAGTGGTTGTCTATAGTGGGCCTTCTATTAAAAAAGTACGTGGTAGGACAGGTCTGCCTCCAGAGTGGCTCAGGGAAACAGACGCTTTGACCCTTAAGCAGGTCGAGCCAGGGGAAGCTGGGAAAGCTCAGTGCACACGCTGGCTTTTCTGCTCAGGATTCTGCCGAGAGAAGGCTGTTGGCTTCGTTCGTTCGCTTCATCCCAGACTCTTGCCCTGCTTTTCAGAACTGCATACCAACGAGAGTCCAATTCCCAAACAGAACATTTTCCTGTTCAAGCGGTTTTGTAAAGGATGGCGAAATCACACGCTATGTGTGAAAGCGCTTTGTCAACTGTGAACTGATTAGTGGTGTCACGGGTTTGCCTTGTTTTCCTTGCATGGCACAGCTGCTGCCATTCGCTCACAGATTTTAAGTCGTGGCCTTACACCTAGCGGAGAGCTTCTCCTGGGAGTGGAGCTCATGGGAAGCCTGAAGGGTTTCTAAGGTGTGAGGACCGACATGTGTCATGCTAATGGCACATAGGTAGGCTTCTGCCTGCGTGCTCTGAAGATTATTATTATTCTAGGCGTGCTCTCCACCTTGTCCCCAGACACTGTAGTACAACCAGCGTAGTATGTCTCTCTCACCCAGTGCCCTTCACCTCCATGGACTGTCAGTAAATATCATCAGGCTAGAACCACCTTGGCACTGAGGCCCCTTCTGCCACCCCTTTCCCATCTATGGTCCCTGCTCTCTTCGCCTCCTTACGTGTTAACCCAACAACAGCTCAGCCGACGCAGTGAACGGGATGAGAAGCACATGGGTGAGGGTGACTCCTCGGCACTCTTAACTGACCCCGAGTCCAGTGGAGTTCCAGTTACTAACGGTGCAGAACTGGTCAGCGGCTGTGTCGGGCGACTGTTCTGTCCTCTGCTCTTGTGTCTTCAGCCCGTACTCATAGAATCAGCTAGGTATGTCGGTGCTACAACTTCTGTAAAATCCGTGCTTCAGTGTAATAAGAATAATTTTCTCTGTCACACACAGGGCTGAAAATTCCCATGTCGCATGTCCTTTGCTCTTTTAAAACCTCACGTGTTTTTGAAGGAAATAAATTGGCAGGCCCAACCCAGTGATATCAATATAAGTAGCCCCTACACTTTGAGTGGAAGTTATGTTGCTTAAGTCATGAGCAACTTGTAGACTTAGGAAATAGGTTTGCAAGATCAATGTGATGATGTGTGTTCTAAAGTAGCTTTGGGGTATTTTAGTAGGAAAGTCTGCAGTATTGAACAACTGTCTGCCCAGAGCTGAGGGGTTCACCATCGCTTACTTGAGATAGTGGAGTTCAAGTGTACTTACTGTTCTTTGTTTTGCAGCATGCACATCTCTGAAAGCCAACAAGAATTCTTCAGAATGCTGGATGAAAAAATTGAAAAGGTAAGAAGGCAAAATAACTAAGTATACTACATTATTTCAAGATAAATCTACTAATTAGAAGTTGGGATAATGATACTTTTACCCCTGTATTCTAAATCTTTTGGCAAAGGATTGGACAGGATGTTAAAACAAAACAAGCAAACAAACAAACAGAAGGGTGTATATGAAAATAATGTGTTAGACCCAGGAGTCATAGCCTTCTCCAGCTCACTCTGGTGGGTCAGATCAGGAAGAGGCCACAAAGGAAGGCCATTCCCCACAAGTCCCCCAAGTGTGTGCATCCACCTGGCACTGCGCCAAGTCTTCCAGGTGTCCCGAGCCTGTTTCCATTACTCCCCTCCTCTGGGAGTGGCTGGTTTCCCTGCAGACCACAGCAGCAGAGCGCTACCACAGATGGCACACGGGGCTGTTGTCTGCTTTTTGCTGAGGCTCAGAGTGCATGAGTAACTTTCCCACACTTGCTCACCTAACACAGTGCTCCCTTAGGCCTCAGCTTCCTTCTCTACAGTTTTAATTACTCAGTCAAGTGCGGTCCAGAAATACTAAAGGGAAAGTCAATAATAATTCGTAACTCTTAAGTAACTCATAACTATTGCCATAATTACTGTTCATTGTCATTGCTCTTCCTGTGCCAAATCCATATATTGGACTTTATTATTCGTGTGTAAAGATCTGTGTACATTTACACAGGGTCTGTCATCCAGTCAGACTGCATACACAAGAGTGGTCGCCTCATATTGTAACGGCTGAAAATTCCTCTCACACAGTACTGTTGACACTATTGCTTGTGTGTTTGTGGTGTTGGAGCTGTGCTGTTACACCATCACAGCATTGCTTGTGTGTGTGTGGTGTGTGTGTGTGTGTGTGTGTGTGTGTGTGTGGTGCTGGAGCTGTGCTGTTACACCATCACACTATTGCTTGTGTGTGTGTGTATGTGTGTGTGTGTGGTACTGGAGCTGTGCTGTTACACCATCACAGCATTGCTTGTGTGTGTGTGTGTGTGGTGTGTGTGTGTGTGTGTGTGTGTGTGGTGCTGGAGCTGTGCTGTTACACCATCACACCATTGCTTGTGTGTGTGTGTGTGTGTGTGTGTGTGTGTGTGTGTGTGTGGTGCTGGAGCTGTGCTGTTACAGCATCACACCATTGCTTGTGTGTGTGGTGATGCCAGTTGCGTGGAAGGAAAAGCACACACAGTCACAGTACGTGGTGCTTGGATCAAAGGGCTCTGCTGTTGGTGTGTATGCCTATTCCACTACTGGTAGCTGTTTGAAAATGTATTCCTTCTGCTTCCTTGCCACACTGATATCAATCTCATGCATCTTGGGTGTCTTAACAAGCCTCTAGGTAGCTGACCTATGCCGTCCAGCTCCCTCTCTGATGTTTGTCCAACAAAATTGTCTAGTGGTGTATTTCTCTAAATGTGTCTTCATCATTACATGATATGTGAGTGTAAACAGGAAAACAGAATATATAGAGTTTGTCACAGTCCCCAACTTCAGGAGTCTAATGGGAGTCTTGGGGACTTACTCCTGACAGACAATTTGCTTTTATACTAGGCGTCTTCATACATTCATAATTATAGATAGCCCACCCTACATCCTCTTCACACCACCCACATCCCCGTGCCCACTCAGACCCTTAGCTTCCGCTATTCTTCCCCGTTCCTTCAGAACACCTATGTTTTACTGTCTCCTCTTAAGATTTTTTGCTTGTGTTATAGGATTGTGAGTTCCCCAGTAGCTTCGTCCCACAGACAGCATTTCGGTTAAGCCTTTTTTTCCTGGACCCTCATTTCCCATCCCTCTCACCACCTGCTTGATCTGTTCTTTCCTTAATATCCCCCCTCTATTTTTCATTTCACCTGTATTTTACTATTTCCCCTTCCTAGATTCATGGCCCTGCCATTAATGACAGTCTCTGATTTCCTAGCTTCCTCGTGCTAAACACAAAGATCTGAAGCGAGGATATTCAGGAGAGGAAATATGTGTCTTTCTTTTACTTTTTTATGGGTATTTCATCCGGACATCTCTTCCTGAAATCCTGCCTTATGGTTACAATATTTAATGCAAGATAGAGATCATCTTAAATTCGTAAGAATTTCAGAGTAGACCCAGTTTCGAAGTGGAACCATGAAAGAATAAGTTCATAGTCTTCTGACTCATTGAAAGACCAGCGGCGTCAAGGACATCACAAGAAAACACACAGAGAAACAACTAGCCTGGCTCATCGGAACTCGGAGTCTGAACCAACAGCCAAAGAACTTGCATGGGAGCGACCTAGGGCCCTCTACAGACATGTGACAATTGTGTAGTTTGTTCTGTTTGTGGGATTCCTAACAGTGGGGGCAGGAGTTGTTCCTAATGCTGTGGCTGTCTCTTGGGAACCTAGTCCTCAGGGTAAACTGAAAAAAAAAACAAAACCTGCCTTTTAAGTTAGGTTTTCAGCTTTCTGAGCGCTGATGAGGCACTAAGACCATCTTGTCCATTCCCAGCAAGTTTCCCTGATGGAGACTCTGTCTCCTTTCACTCAGAGCGAGTTCATTGTTCCTGTAGAAAACAAGACGTCCTTCTCCACCTAGGATGGAGCATGATGTGTTTGGCACAACCAAAACACCGTTTCTGACTAAACCGTGGACTAGGTAGAACATTCCCTAGACAAGGAATATTTTAAATTTAACATGCCCAGTGTCCCCACTATTGGACACCTTTTCCTTTTCTCTTCTTTTGTGTTTGCTTCTGATCATGAAACCCAGAGCCTCCATGGTGCCTGCTGGGCAAGTGTTCTCCCTCTGTTAGCTTAGCCTTCAGCTTCATTTACTCTGTGTCTCCCAAAGATGGAGAGGTTGGTTTGAGGGTTTATCTTCACTTCTTCCTAAATTATTTTTATAGTTAGTCTTCAAAACAGTAGGCTTCATTATGTTTCTCTGGACCACCTACCTATCAAACAACTATTTGTTTACACTTAGAAAATATTTGGGTCCCTGAATGGCCTGATTTCCATGGGCTCAACACTACACTAGTTGGTAAGAAAGGTAGAAAGGTTATAAATCTGTGTGTATGAAGTTATTTCAAGGACCCTTATCTATTCTATCAAATTGGGTTAGTGTGACCCACACCTAGAGTCAGTGCATCAGGCATCACAAGAAGCACATTTTTCATCTGGTTAAGTGACTTTGATTCTACTGTATAAACACATCTCCAGGAGGAACACCAAAACGTTCTACACTTGTAGTTTCATTCTTGAGTTTTGGAAGTTTGGAGCTGGGCAGTCGTAGCTGCCTCCTCTCTGGGTACCAGTGAGTGATGGCAGACACAAGGAGCGGGGGAACATACTGAGTCAGCATCCACCTTATTAATGATGAGTGATTCCCGGACACAGATCCAGAGCTAGTTCGGAATACATTTGTAAGATTTAAAACATCAGAAGGTTTGTTGTCAAATTACGTAATATGCACATATGTAATATGAAATATGTGTAATCCAGACAATTAAAAACTCTTACATTGCTAGGTATATACCCTTGAAATTCTCTTATATAATGCAATAAATGCCACCATAGCAGTCTGTGTTAAATAGCAAAAATTAAAATTTAAAAAGCTGGAAGCATCCGAACATGCAGCAGCCGAGAAACAAATTAAACCTTCTATATCTTGGTGTTATGCAACAGTTAAAAGTAATGAAGCAGATGTATAGATGGCACAGTTACAGTCTTCAAGTGATATTATTAAATGAATAGAGCACAAAAAAATGCAATACAAAAAAGTGTGTTGTAAAGAAATACTGTGATATAGTTATACTTACATTCAGCAGAGATAGATAACAGATACCAGTCGTCTGTCAGGTATTGGCAGGCATATGATAAATGCATGCCGCATGCATTCACATTAGTATAGTATGTTCTGTATGAAATATTTTTGCCCTTTTTTTTTTTTTTTTTTTTTTTTTTTTTTAGAGACAGGGTTTTTCTGTGATTTTGGAGCCTGTCCTGGCACTATCTCTTGTAGACCAGGCTGGTCTCGAACTCACAGAGATCCGCCTGCCTCTGCTTCCCAAGTGCTGGGATTAAAGGCGTGCACCACCACCGCCCTGTATGAAATATTTTTAAATGACAAGTATTTATATGCTATGTATTTAAATGTTCAGGCACACATAAAAAGCAGTATATTTTATATAGTGTAGCTAACACAGTATCAATATTATAGGAATATTAAAGTCTCTAAAGTAAGCTTGATACAGGAGTATATCAATGGTTGAGTACATACCTATGCCTGAGTTCGAGTCCCAACATCAGAAAAAGAAAAAAAAAAAATCTGAGAAGGTAAAGTCTGTGGCCATTGTGATCTCGTGTTCTAGGTGGGAGGATGGAAGACAGAGCGTGATACCAAACACAAGGAGTTCTTTTGTCTAAGTGGTAGCTGCATAGTGCTCGCTCCATGCTTGGTACTGCTCTGAAACTTCACTTTCTCAGTCAATAGAAGTCCCTGAAAGCAGGAATATATTTATGACAAGATGTCAAGTGGACAAAAGGCAGATTAGATTACACAGTGGTCACCAGCCTTGCTCACATCTTCCACTGCCCCCAGTGTGTGCAGCGGTCCAGAATCTCCAGGGAGCGTTACCATCAGGGCAATGGGCCAGGTACTAAGTCACCTAAAACATGCCTTGTAGCTCCCTACACCTGTACTAGGTATACTATGGTACTTCGCCTTTAGCGTACAATCTGCATTACTACGATTCCTTCCGAGCTGGGCAAAGGGCCAGAGATTGAAACACAGACAGACACAGACGCACAGAGACAGAGACACAGGGACATGGGTCATCCTTGAAACAGAAATGCCCCTTTATTGTGCTCAAGGACAGCTTGTACAGGGCTCTTGCCACACCCTAGCTCTCCCGATTTTTCAGCTACAGCCTCACCAGAAACCACTCCCCTGACGTCAGCTGCAGGCTGCTTAGAGGAGAGTGTTTACAGAAAATTCAGGGACTGGTGGTCTGCAGTCC